AGACGGCCCTGGGCTTGAGCCAAAATGGCTACCGAACAGAAGAGGAAGAGGAGGAGGAAGAGGAGGACGAGGAGGAGAGGGGACGAGAAAACGATGGGTAGGGCGGTGTGGGATCGGCGGTGTTCCGCTGTCGACGATAAAAGCTAGATAATGAACCAAACGCCGTCGTTGACAAAAGATTGGTCGCCACGGCCGTGCGGTGCCATATAGACTCTGCGTAAAAGGTGTGTACCGGAATTGTGACGACGTCCCATAGCAGCTGGCGCGCCAGGTGGACCCTTTTCGAACGTCCTGGGCCCACTCGATTCGACCCAGACGTCCAGCGTGAATGTAGTGACGTTGAATGTCTGGAGTTGCCCGGCGTCGGTCGCCGTTCGCCGTCGTGAAGGGGCCCCGAGATCAGCCGCCGCGAGAAAATGCATCATCGCCACAAATCACGACTGGAGCCCTAGACTCTGCAGTAAGAGCTCGACCACAAGAAACCCAACCCTGAGACCCCCCAGGACGCCAATGGATTTTTGGTGTGGGAGCGCCACGCTTTCCATAGCACAACCATCGAAACCCAAGAAACCAGGGCACCCTAGAGGCAAGCAGGGTGCTTCTTGGCATGGGCTTCCACTGTAGTTGCGTCGCCCTCAGGCCGGCCGCTCTAGCGGCCGCGCCGCAGAGGCCTTGCTGCTTCTCTGGCATGCAGCTCATCCCTCCGAAGGCGAGGTCCAGATGATGAGAATGATGCGGAGGAGGAGGAGGAGGCGGAGGAGGAGGGGGAGGAGGAGGGGCAGGAGGAGGAGGAGGAGGTTGAGGAGGAGGCACCCTAGAGGCAAGTAGGGCGCTTCTTGGTACCACTCCAGGCCCTGTCCTCCTGCGGCATTTCTCGGCCCAAAGCGATCCACGAAGGCCCCCAGACCCGAACACCGGGAACGAAGGCCCAGCGCGAACCATGCGAGGAAAAATACTGTCAGGTCGGGCATGTCCTTCTACAGGCGGATTTTGGATTAAACATGAAAATAATCACAAAATTCCTAAACTAGTCGAAGCATCATGGAATATCGTCTCCAGACTGTTGTTCACTAGTTTTGAACATTCCTCCTGTACGAGGGGCATGCCCGACTTACTTATACTGGGCATCAACATAAACTGTCCGATGTCCGGGCGGAGTTCTGGGATCAGCGCTGGACCCACCTGCCTGGCCCTCGGAACGCGCCAGGGGCGGCGCCGGAGGCGCCGCCAGGTTCGGCGCAGATCCTGGAGATCCGCGGGGACCTCCGACAGTTTACGCCCCTCTCATGTCGTTCTTTCATCTTCGCTGCAGCAGTCGGCGGCGAGCCCATCGGGAAGGTGAGAGGGGGCAGGCCTGCTCAGGAAGCGGCGGGGCTTCGAAGCCCTCGCGCCTGCTGAGAAGCCGCCTGCGGCTTCGGAGAAGGCCTGCCAGGGCTTCTCAGACAGCGCGAGGGCTTCGGAGAAGCCCCGCCGGCATCTGAGGAAGTCTGCCCCTCTCGGACGCCTGGTGGTTTTTGGGTTACTCGTCGGCTCTCCGGCGGCTGTTCGGGGCGATCTGGGAACCCGCGGAACGCTCTCGGCGAGGCGCAGCTGCTATGCTAGAAGGCACCCCGACGCTGGCAAGCTGCCGAGAGCTGATGACGCCGCCCGACGAATTCGAGCCTCGAACCTCGAGCGCCCCCTGGGCTCGCCGCCGAAACTAAATGCGACGCCCTGATCTCGCGGACGCTGCCGCCGTCAGCGCCAGCGCTGCGGCGGCCGCCAGCGCCGCCGGCGCCGCCGTCGCCGTCGTCGTCGGCGTCGTCGTCGTCCTTTTTGTCGTGGTCGTCGTCGTCGTCGTGGTCAGAGGCCTCCTTGATTGGGCCCGAGTAGATGGGGTCGGAGGATGGCACCGCATCGGCGATACATCGGAGGTGCATCGGAGACGTTGGCGATGCATCGACGCTATCGGCGTGGATAACATCGAATTCCACATAACCATTGACCTTCGACACCCTCTGCTCAGACCCCATCTGAGAGGCCTCGAGCTGTCGTCGTCGCCGCCGTCGTCGTCGCCGCCGTCTGTCGCCGTCGTCGTCGTCGTCGTCGTCGTCGTCGTCGTCCTCGTCGCCGTCGTGGTCGTCACCGCCGTCGTCGTCGTCGTCGTCGTCTTCGTCGTCGTCGTCGTCGCCGTCATCGAAGTCGCAGTCGCCGTCGCCGTCATCGTCGTCGTCGCCGCCGTCGCCGCCGTCGTCTTCGTCGCCGGCATCGTCGTCGTCCTCGACCGCGCCAGCGCCGCGGCGGCCGCCGCGGCCAGGGCGCCGCCGCGGCAGCGGCGGCGCGGGCGCGGGCGGCGCATCGCAGGCGCGGCGGCGGCGGCGCGGCCGCGCGACCGCGCGGGCGGAGGGCCTCTGCAGCGGCGCGGTGGGGCGCGCCAAGGGCGGCGCCGCCGCGAGGCGGCGCCCCGAGCCAGTGCTTTCGTCGTCGCCGTCGTCGTCGTCGCCGTCGTCGTCGTCGTCGCCGCCGCTTATCCACATCTGCCGCCTGGGAACCGACGCTCTGGTGCCCCACTGGGCGGTGGATATGGACCTATTTTGACCCCCGGAAGCTCGAAGGTATCCGTATCCACCGCCTGCGGAGGTCCGCGAGAATCGATCCCCCAAGAGGCGGTCATGGAAAAATCCGCGCCTCGGACGAAAGGGGTACGGAAAACATGGGCGCGATGCCCAACAGCAAACCCAGACCACCTCGAGTCATGAAGCAATCACGACGGGAGGTTTTTGGCGATGCTCTTCCTCTGGGGGCCCTTACCTGGTCTCGGGGCCGTGGAAAAAAACGACTCGAGATGAAAAACCAGTCCCGGGGAATGGATCGAGACCCTTGGAGATCGACGGTGCGAACAACATCATGACGTCGGGGTTCTGGGAACGCTGTCCAAAGCCATCGGCGGCCGCTGTTGGGAAAGCGACTCCTTGCCTCAAGTGGACAGCGTCCGTGGTGACAGCGAGTCTTCGTCGGTCTTCGTCCCCATTCTATCTCGATCGTGCAGAAGCGCTGGGGCCCAGCCGGCAGTGCTCGGCGGCTTCGAGCTTGCGACCGACGCGGCGACCAGCGACCCCAAAATTCAGATCCTGGCGCTACCACTCTTTCTAGCGGCCGCTCTCGCCCGGCTTCGGGCCCCGGGGTCCCGACAGATGGATCCGACTCGAAACACGACGCAGAAAGACGGGGTTCGTGGGCTCCGGTCGTAATTTGTTACGACATTGTGTTTTTTTCGCAAAGTGAGATCTCAGGGCCAACGTCGTCGTCGTCGTCGTCGTCGTCGTCGTCCTCGTCGTCCTCGTCGTCGAGGGCCGAGGCCTGCAACTGGCAGCACGCAAGGGGTCTGCAACTGGCAACACGCAAGGCCGAGGGCCGAGGTCTGCTGTCCGGGCATCCAGCGCCCGGAAGGCAGCTAATCGAGACGGCGATTTTGTTGGCCGTGCCCGGCCTCTGGAGGGCCTCGCTGTGCCCCAGGACAGATACTCCAGATTTCGTAATAAAGGGAGGGGGGTCTCATTTCGGGGGGGGGGTCTCTTCCAGGCTATCTTGGAGGGCCTGGGGGGTCTGGGGACGATGTTTTGGAGGATTCTCCCACGGGGGAGGTCTGAAATGGCTTGTCTTGGAGGGTCTAGACCCCCCCCCTTTTATTACGAATTCTGGAGTACACAACAAACTCAAGAGAGAGAACTCGCCCTGGGGGGAAAGGGTCGGGACTTCCGGAGGCCCTGCATGTGGAGCTGGGGTCCGAGTAGACGGGGGCGGAGGATCGCGCCGCAGCCCCGATGCATCGGCGACACATCGGCGACGCATCGGCGACGGCGGCGCGGAGAAAACCCGGCGCCACATCGAGCCGCCTCGCCGGTGCCTCGGCGATGTTGGCGCGGTCCTCCGACCCCAGGAGCAGGAGGAGGGGGAGGAGGAGGGGGAGGAGGAGGGGGAGGAGGAGGAGGAGGAGGGGAGGAGGAGGGGAGGGGGAGGAGGAGGGGGAGGAGGAGGAGGAGGAGGAGGAGGAGGAGGAGGAGGAGGAGGAGGCCTGGAACACTGCAACGTCAGGGCGTCGGATCTGTGGGCGGTGGCCCCCCGCAGAGGCAAGCGCGGCCTCGGGCGCGACATGGGCCTGCCTAATTATCGCTGCGCGCGAGCGGTGCGGCATGTGGCGGCCCGCGTGCTCGAGCTTGGGCCCCCGGAAGCCCTCGCCGCACACCATATCAAAACAGCTCGAAGATCGGGACAAGATCGGATCGGGAGAACTCGAGATCTCTGAGAATCGGCGGGCTTGGAGGAGGTATTGGGCGCCGCGGCCGCTCCAGAGCGTTCCGGAACGCCCTGAGAGCGCTCCGGAACGCTCTGGAGCGATTCATCCCGATCCCAGCGCCCTGTTTTACATATGGCCCCGGACTCCCCTGACGTCCGGGCGCGGCAACCTCTTCGCCGCGGGCGTCTTCGTCGGGCTTCGGGCGGGGGGGGGGCCCTCACGCACCCCTCCTGCCCGAGGAATGCGGCAAAGAGGTGGGGCTCGTGCTCGTCTGCGAGGCTGTCCTTTTTGCTCGCTCTGCGTCGGGCCCCTGGGGAACGCGGGAAGCCACGGCCTCGGGGGCTCATGGGGGCATGCAGGCCCGTGCCGGAAGACCGTCGCCGGCCACCCTCGCCCGGCGCCTGGGCGCTGCATATCCCCGACGCGGGCGAGAGAGCCCAAAATCGAATCGATGAGTCGGAGCGGCGATCGACACGAATCGGATCGGCGGAAGATCGGCAGCCGAGTCGGGAGAAGTCGAACCGGCGGAAAAATCGGCAGGCTTGTATACGCGTCCAGTGAGAAGTCGGAGCCCGGCTCGGAATCCCAAGTCCACCCGAATCGGAATCGGCATCGGAGCCCCTCGGAACCGCATCGCATCGCTATCGGGGGGGCAGCGAGGCGTGCCCGCCGCGCGGGCCCGCAGCGGGCCCGCCGCGCCGCTGCGAGGGGCCGCGGGGCGGTCCTTCCGGGGCGCTGGCCCCCTCCGAAGGCGAAGGGCGGAGAGGCCGAGCGCGCTCCCGAGCTCGCGGGGCGCCTGCGGCGCGGCAGGGCGGGAGGCCCCGAGGCGCCGGGGCAGGGGAGCTCTCGCGGGCGGCAGGGGGCGCGGGGCCGCTGGCCGGGAGGGAGGGAGGGGGGGGGCGGAGGTGCAGAGCCGGCGGCGCGGCGCGAAGGGCGGCGAGAGGCCGCGGGGGGCTGCGGACGACCGCGGCGCGGGCCCGCGGCGCGCCGGCGCGGAGGGCCCGCGGCAGCGGCAGCGACCACCAGCGGAGCGGGCCAGGCGCGCCCCGACCAGGAGGACGAGGCGAGTCCAGCCGCGAGGTAGTTCCCCCTGATTCTTTGGAGGCTCTGGGAGGCCAAAGTTAGGCCCGCGTGCGTAATCGAGGCAGTGGTGCAGGGTCGCTGGGCGTGCGAAAGAAATGCACGGTGGTAGCATCCTATGTGCTGATGCTGTTGAGCATGATCCTCGATCCTCGGTCCTCGATCCAGGAGTAGGTGTGTGGAGCTGATCCTGGACCCTCGATCCTCGATCCGCCGCGAGGCTGCTCGAAGCTTTGCAGCGCGGGCCCCCCAGCTCGCAGGCCAGGAGACGATCCCGAGGCATGCACCGACGCCGCTCTAGAGTTAGGCAGGCAAGGGGACGATGCGTGCCAGGGCTACTTCGTATCCTGAGCCATCTGGCGTCTCTCTTCTCCTGATCGCTTGCTCTTCTTCCACCCTCTCCTCAGCACGGCGCGCCTGGGCAATCATTGTCGCGGGTAGCTCTTGTTCCTTTGCTGTTCTTCTTTGCGCGCTCGCGCGAGGCCGCCAATTCAGACCGACCTGGCATTCAGACCGACCGGCCTCGGGGGGCCAGCTGAAGCTCAGACATTCAAGCGCGCACTCGCCCGGTCGCAGACGTGATCGCGGGCGAACGGCACGCGTGAGCAAAAAATGGTGTGCGTTTGCACGGTTGGTTGAATTAAGCAGCGCGCCAATATATCTTGCGCATGCTGATGCCATGTCTGCGGCCCTGCCGGCCATCGTGTTTACAGGCGCCAGGGGAGACGCGGAGCCAGGCTGACCACAAAAATCCGATCATGACTGGCCCGCGCCGCTGTCAGCACCAGTGCTGCGACATCGCTGCCTTCTCGAAGTGGTGCTATCCCCACGAAAGCCCAAATTGGCTGACGTGCCCTTCGAAACGAGGCCGGCCGGGTAAACAGCACCACGGTCGGGGGGAACGCACGCAACTTCCCGCTGTTGTCGTCATCCTAGGCTCCGCCTGTTGCCATTTTGACTGTTTGCACGAACTTCAAATGCAGATGTATTTTCATCTGAGAAGCCCCCGCACTGGCTTGCTTCGAAGCCTAGCTGGAGAAAGCTGCTGGCAATAGAAAGCCATGTTTGAAAAAAACCTCTCTGACTCGAGTGGCACAAAACGGAGCAGGGGATGATAGCATATGAGACGTAATGGAGCAAAGAGAGAGAGGGTCATCCACCTCACCTCACATTTCACACAATGAGATTGCACCCCTTCGCCCCGTCGCCAAACATCCGCTCAAATGTTGCTGATGCGCAAGGGAAACCGCCTTGCACCCGACCGCGCAAGAAATATTACATGCCACAGCACCCCCGCTGTTGGCTACTCGTGCTTCCGGCTCCCGCTGCATATCTGCACAATCTTCAAGCAGGCGTAGAAGTCGTCGCGCAGCTGCCGGTCCGAGAAGTGGAGGCACTTGACCCTGATCTCACTGTCGAGCTCGAGACCCAAGCAGGAGGCACTGAGGTCGGCCAGCTCCGGCACATGGCCCTTGAACGCTTCGCCCTTTGTCACAGAGCCGATGTCGTGGACGTCCCACTTACTCTCTGGGCAGAAGGCAGGCTGGAGGCTGATCGATTTCATGTCCGATTCCATTCTGAAGACGGCCTGGCAGACGAGCCGCGACTCTGGGTCCATGAGCTCCACGCGGATGCCCTCTGCGGCCCCCTCGCGGAACTCGGCCATCAGCTCTTTCAGCCGCTGCTCTCGCGACCCCTTGTCCTGCCCGTCGCGCTTGGAGGCCATGGTCGAGTTGGTAGACAGGGGGGAGTGCAGGGGATCCTGCTGCCGGTCCCCGGGCACGGCCGTCGTGGCCATCGGCGAACCGCGCCGCCCGGCTCGGCAGCCGCACTGGTGCGCAGCTCTCTGCGTCGGGAGGGGGGCGGGGCAGGGGCCCAGCGCGGTGCGCGGCCGCCTCGCGGACCTCGAGCCAGAAGGCCTACTCATGGGCCGACTTCCCACCACCACTGCCATAGGTAGAACAGGTGAGAGGGGAGGATTGGGAGGCCCTCCTCCTCCTCCTCCTCCTCTTCCTCCTCCTCCTCCTTCTCCCCCTCCTCCTTCTCCCCCTCCTCCTTCTCCCCCTCCTCCTCCTCCTCCTCCTCCTCCTCCTCCTCCTCCTCCTCCTCCTCCTCCTCCTCCTCCTCCCTCTCATACCTATGGTAGCGGTGGTGGAAAATAGGCCCATCAACTACGGAATTGTCACGGGTGACTCTTGGTGTCTTCTTTTTCGTGATCCGCTTGCCTCTCCCAAACCAAGGTCCTCTGCGCGAACGTGTCTACTGCAGGTCGGCTTGTATGGCGTTCCGCTGCTCGCCTGGCGGCTGTCTGGCACGCACTGTGTTCCGTGGCTCCAGGACATCACGAACAGCGCGGATGCCAAGCAGAAATATTCGTATGCAGTCGCTAGCGCACCGAGCTCTCAAAATCTCCGGAGATGACCGTGCAGCGCCAGAGTTGCCGAACTCACGAACGCAGTTCCGAAGCATGGCCCACACATAGGCACGGATTGTTCCTCCGACGCGCTGGTGGGATGCAGCCAGCGGCGAGACGTCGAGACGGGACACAGTCAAGGCAATGTATACCCAGCTTTGTTCGGACGAGTCTCACTTGATACAGCGTCGACGCTACCACCCGGACCAAATATGTTCAAAATCAAGCCCCAGACCCCTCCCGGGGTCCTTCCTGATCCGCTTTCTGGGCCACCCAACTTCGCGCATCGCGCCCCGCGATGCGCGACTACCTTCGCGCCCTCGAGCTGCTGCCCTGGAGAAGGGCGCCTCTCCATCCCAAGCCGCGATGCCAAGGGACGCCCAACGCCAAACGCCAGGGAGGGCCGCCGCAGTTGTTTCGACTGGCCCTCCTCCCATCTGTGCCATTACCCCGGACACTGGCACCGCCGCCCACCTGCTGAGGGGCAACGGCCCGCGATAGGGGGGGGGCAGCTCAGGGGAGGGAGGAAACATCGAGCTCGAATCGGCAGTGCATCGCCGATAGACCGGCGGTAGGCTCCCGATAGCGAAACCGCACGTTCCTGCTCGGGGTGGGCTGTCAGGCCTCTATCGGCGGTGAATGGGCGACTGGATGCCGCCCCCCCCCCCCCCCTGGGCCTGTCCCTAGCGTTGCCCTGACTTGCCGCCCAGGCCCGGGCCTACGGAGCTGACGGCCTTCACCTGCAGCCAGTTCGACAGCACCTGCCTCACCTGCCGCCGAACCCGACGAATACGACGACGGCGGCGGCAGCGGCGGCGGCAGCGGCGGCGAGGACGACGACGACGACGACGACGACGACGACGACGACGACGACGACGACGACGACGACGGTGGCGGCGGCGGCGGCGGTGGCGACGACGACGACTCCCTTATGCTTACTGTGTTGTGAATGTTCTGCCATGCCATGTTTTGCGATGAATCGCCATGCTCTGATGTAACGTTGTGTTGTGTCGCGTTTTGTTATGTTGTGCTGTGATATGTCACGTTGTGTTCTGTTCTGTTCTGTTCGTGGAAAGCGCGGGGTGGCGGGACCATCGGGGACAATCGGTGGATCTGGGGATCTGACGGCCGCGGTATTTGGCGGCCCCCGACGGGATCCCCACGGGATCACCGGTGGCCCTGGGGATTCGGCGGCCGCGGTATCACTGGTGGTCCTGGAGATCTGGCGGCCGCGGTATTGCAGGGTGGGCGGGTCGGGAGGCCTGTTGCCATAATCTTCAGAAACTGGTCGGGAGTGGAACAACTCAGGATGAAGGTCTGGTCCTGGGACTACGAAACCCTGCGGTCTAGGATCCGCCCGTTTCCCTCAGAACCCTTGTCTTACTTGTGGAGGGATCGGACGTCCACCTCAGCAGGTTGTCGGATCTCAACAGGGGCCCCCAGCGCCGATCCGAGAAGTCCGCGCGGACCTCCGAGCTTTCATGTTCATGTCATTCTTCGTTCCCCTAAGAACCCTTTCTGAAACGCCTGGAGGCAGGAGGCACACACGGCGCGCGCCACACCTTCAGTCGTCCCGATGTGCGGCACCATGTTGGTGGCACCGCGCCTGGCTCGCGTCCAATGGCGACGAGGAGGGCGCGCACGCGAGCAAAGGACGAGGCCACCGCCGTCGCACCCTCCTCCTCTTCCTACTCTTCCTCCTCCTCCTCCTCCTCCTCCTCCTCCTCCTCCTCCTCCTTTACCTGTTCCTCACTCTGCTCCTTCTCTTCCTCCCCTCTTCCTCCTACTACTACTGCTGCTCCTCCTCCTCCGTCTGCTCCGCCTCGCTCTCTTCTCCTGCCACTCTCAAGCTCACCACCCGCTCCCTCGCATCCGTCTCCTCTCCTGCTCCTCCTCCTGCGCCAGCTCGATCGCCCCTTCCTGCAGTCAGTACTGCGCACTCGTGCGGGGCGCGCTAGGCCAGGCCCCCTCCCCCACACACACGCCTGGCCGCCCCGCCTGGCTGGGACGGAGGCGCCAATCGACGCGAGGGCCAAGGGCCTATGCCCCCCCCTCGTTCAAAAACACCTTCCACGCCAATCGCCCACTCCCTCATCCGCACCCCCCCTTTCCTGTTGCTGTCTCGCGTTGCACAAACACTGGCGGGACGGCCGTTGCGTCGTACCGCTCGTGCTGAAAAAAGGAAGTCACTTACGAGATCACTCCTCCCCCCTCCTCCTCCTCCTCCCCCTCCTCCTCCTCCTCCTCCTCCTCGTCCTCCTCCTCGCCTCCTCCTCCCCCTCCTCCTCCTCCTCCTCCTCCTCCTCCTCCTCCTCCTCCTCCTCCTCCTCATCCTCCTCCGCCTCCTCCCCCTCCTCGTCTTCTGCCTCCTCGTAGACGCAGCCATGCGGGCAGGGTCGATCCTGACCACATGTAGCCACGCGCGGTCGCGGACTCAAGACTCTCCCACGCGATGAGTGGCGATAGACGGCAGCCCTGTCTCTCTAGCACCGAGCAGACTTGCAGTGCGCTCAGGCAGATCAAACTCTTATGCACCTGGTATGTTCATCATGCAAGGCCGTCCGACACACGCCCTTCTACCCAAAACAATGAGGCTGGTTTGAAATGTGCCAAGAATCAGAACACGAGGTAGATAGCGCAGTGAGAGTGCCGAGGCCGCCAGAGCCGCAGATGGCACAAGGCACCCCCCCACTTCCCCGTTTCGACGAGGCGAATAGATACACAGAATTGGCTCTGCCGCCAGCTCGAGCTCCGAATCCAGTTCCAGCTGCAGCCCCAGCTCAAGCCATACTTGGATCCAGCCTAGCGTCAGCCTCAGCCAGCCCCAGCTCCAGCTCTAGAGCTCCAGCTCGATCCCTCCAGCTCCAGCTTCACTCCGATCGCAGCTGCAGCTCAAATTCCAGGGCCAGCTCAAGCTCTAGCTCCAGCCGAGCTGCTGCCCAGCTCCGGATCATGCTCCAGGTCCAGCCCAAGTTCAGCTCCAGCTCAGCTCCAGCTTCAGCTCCTCATCCCGTTCCCGCTCCAGCCCAGCTCCAGCCATAGCTCTAGCTCAACCTCAAGCTCCAACTTAGCTGCGGCCTCAGCTCCAGCCGAGCAACTGTTCAGCTCCAGCCCCAGCTCTGGCCCCAGACCAGGTTCAATTCCAGCTCAGGTCAAGCCCAACCCCACCTAAAACCTCGAGCTCCAGCTCCAGCTCAATTCCAGCTCCAGCATTTCGTTTTCGAATGTACGGGTACTGCATTGTGTCAAGACTGCATGTCCTAGATTGCTTCTCCGATTTCGCAGCTGATGCTGCCCAGCTCGGACGGAGTAGCCCAGCTTGCATACCCAAGCTTGCATGTCCCAATATGTTTTGTCCCCTTCGAATCAGGACTCGTAACGTTGCGAGGCAACGCCCGCGAAACACGCAATGAATGGAACACGTCGCGTATGTACTCGAATTTGGATTCGTTTCCACACGCTGGCCTACTCATGAACTGCGGTGAGGGAATTGGATAAGGATATCCCTGGATCAATAATCCGGCGTCTGGAAGCCCGTGGAACACCAAGAAGGACTTGGCACGGCCATGGATATCACTGCTGCCCTCATCGGATAGGGAACCCTCCAGGGTCTAAAGCCTGGTGAGCGTTTTCTTTTATTCGGCGGTTCGACATTGGGCGGAAGGGGAGGGGGGTAGGGGGGTGGTCTGGATCCACACCTCTGCTTAGTGCGACTGTTTGGGACAGTGCTGCCTCTGGGGGAGGGACTTCGCCCGCTCGAAGCAGGCGCCAAAAAACAGCCAAGATCTTGGGGGGGAAGAGGGGGGGTTTGGGGGGCCCGCGCCGATCAACAAAACAAGGAATAAAACACGATCACCTGCTGGGCGCCTTCCTCAACGAACGCCCCCACCGCAACGCATCCGCAGCTCCTCGAAAGCAGTGCTTCGTGAGGGCTCCTCCCGGTGCCGGGAGGTGGGGCCTCGGGAGGGCGGGCGCGCGGGTGGCGCGGGCTCGCCTGTTTGGTCCCCCCAGCCGTCCTGCGGTGTCGGTTCCTCGTTCTGAATCCGCAGCGCCCCGCGTCCCCACTTCGCCTGCCCCCCATCCCACCTCGTCACCCTCCTCCTCCTCCTCATCAGCAGCAGCACTATCATCATCCTCACCACCACCATCACAAATCACCATCACCATCACCATCACCACCATCATCGTCGTCATCATCATCCTGATCAGCATCATGATCAGGATCCTGGTCATGATTATTACCATCAAAAAACAACATAATCCTCGACATCAAGACCACCAACAGAATCCGCATCATCCAACATGTCCCGCATACACATCATCAGACTCTGCATCCGCATCACCATCAGCACCATCATCAGTCACATGTCGGCACGCACCTCGCACGCTTCGTGGCCGCATGGGGAGCTCCACCGAATGCCTCAGTGAGAAGGTCCGCATGCCACCGCCGTACCAATTGCGGTACACCCCTCACACGCTCCGTGGGCCCACAAGGAGCCCCCCACACGTTTCGTGGCCCCATGGGGAACCTGAGGCCCAAATCCCAGGATCCGTATGCCACCGCCGCACCCCTGTCGGCACACCCCTCACACTTCTCGTGGCGCCACGGGGAGCTCCACCGAAGCCCCCCCGTGGCTGCGTTCGCATGGCACAGCCATCGCACGTCTCGTGGCCCCATAATCAACTTCCCCTTCTTCGTCTCACCTGCATTTCGGCACTCACACTTGCAATTGATTGGGCCCTTCGCCAAGAGAATTTTTGGTTCTTGTGAAATCGGGCCAGTCGCCGCCGACCGCGAACCCGGCCACAAACCGCCTTGGCGGAGAAGGCGGCGCTGTCTCTTGGAGCGCGCGGGGCGCAGGCAGTCGCTGGAAGCGCAGCCGGGCTCGCCTATTTAAAAGATCCGGGAGCATTGCCCCGTCGAGCCTCCGAATTCTCCCGCCGAGTCCACGTCCAGCCCCGCCTGTGGATGCCGATGTTTTTTTTTTCTGGCCTCGCTGCCCCTGATTACATGGCCGACTCCATGACCGCTGCCTTTCCCGGAGCTTCCGCGTGCGGGCCCTACTCTCGCCAGCCTTGTCTGGAGCGGGCCACATATAAGACTCCCCCGTTCGTCGCTTCGGGTGGCTAACCCCCGAGGTGGGCTCACGACGATGAGCGTTCACCAATCACACCCCGACGTGGCATTGATTGAACAAGGAATGGGCGAACACACACACACACACACACATATATATATACATATATATATATGAGAGCGAGAGAGCGAGGATGATGATGATGCTGATGATGATAATGATGATGATGATGATGATGATGATGATGATGATGATGCTGAAGCTGACGTCGACGACGATGATGATGATGCTGATGATGGCGCAGCCCCTTCAAGCTCCAGATCCCCAGGAGCTCACATCACCGTTGAAACAGAGCTCGAATGTGAGGGTCCCGCTTCGAAATAGCCCTCGCACGAGCTTTGTAAAAAAGATGAGTATGCATTCAGGGCCGAACCGTTTCAGGCTCCTGAAAGAATTGCGCGTGTTGAATAAAAAATCGTGAGCTGGCATGGTAGAGTACAAGGCAGGAGAGGAATACGTATTATGACTGTGAAGCAGCAGGCGTTCCTGGGCCGTCCAGGCGAGGAAGTCAGCGGGAAGATGGGGCATAACTAGACAGAGCGGCTCGAGGGCACAAGGGCAATCAAAATAGTGGAGGATATGATCGCCTCCACAAGCTCTGCACCCGAACAGACAAGCATTCCGCCGCTGACGATACCTAGCACTGGTGGCCCAGGAATTACAGACACCTTTCAATACTGCAGCGCCCACAAAAAAGGCAAGTTTAGTGTTAGCAAGCTCGATACGCATTACAATTAAATCAGCCTTGGGAAGCTGAGCAGTGTTTTCAAAATGTCTGATACGAGGGAGGAGGGCTAAATTGGCAAATATTGGTGCCTGCCTACAGCTCAGCAGGGTATTCACTTTTTTACTGCAGCATGTCAGTGTCGGGGTCATCTATCATCATGGGAATAGCAGTCAGCTGGTTGTATTTGGTAATCAAGGAGTAACAAAGACTGGATTCGTACCACTTTGTGTGACGTAGAACTGCTAGCCGATCAATCTCTTCGCCCTCCAGCCAAGCAGACCTTCCTCGCACTTCGGAGAACCATTGAGATTTTAGGGCGACCCGGTACACATTGGCTCTGGCTTCTCTCTGGAGGTCTCTGGGATCGTGGGGAAAACAGAGCACCGATGGGGACCTCAGAATATCGGCTGGAATGGAATGCCTGGGAGCGGATGCTAGAAGCTGGTGGGCTTTTTTTTTTTCTCTCTCTCTCTCTCTCTCTCTCTCTCTCTCTCTCTCTCTCTCTCTCTCTCTCTCTCTCTCTCTCTCTCTCTCTCTCTCTCTCTCTCTCTCTCTCTCTCTCTCTCTCTCTCTCTCTCTCTCTCTCTCCTTTTTTTTCCAAGACAGCTGGTGGAGCCTGGCACAGCTGGCCCGCAAAGCTGAGCACGGAGAAGGCCAGCGAGTTGTAGGCAATGATATTCTGACATAGCCCTAGGGATAGACCTCTGATGTGCCAGGCTCGCATGATGCATTTGATCCCAGGAGCGCCCAAGGACACCATGGGCCCCTTCGGGCCGATGTAAACTCCCAAATACTTGCCGAAGGCGTCGACCCGATGCGGCCTAGTTTTAATGCCAGATCCACGAAACATCACACGCACATCTTTCCTGGAGTACGGCACGGCAAATACCGGCGATCACTTGCCCGGGTTCAAGATCAGGCCCGTCACCATCGCGGCCTGCGAGAGCAATCTCAGCACGATGGGGGGCGCGCGGACAAGGTCGCAAGAAACAATGCCTATGTCGTCCGCGAATGCACAAGGCCGAGCCAGGGGAGTCATAACTGAATGCACGCACCTAAAAATAGGATCATCAGCTAAAGCAAATAGTACACCAGATAATGGACATCCCTGCTTGATACCTCGTGTGATATAGTAGCCTCTGAATGTGCCTCCTCCTAGTAAGATACTTGTGTAAATATCACGATACAGCTGTTGAACAGCGTCCACGACGTGTTCAGGGATAAGCGTATGTTGTAACACGGCCAGGGCCCATGCACGCGCTAAACTCGGGAAAGCAGCGGCAAAGTCAAGCCAAGAGAGGCCGGCTCGATCGGCCCCTTCAAACACTGCATGCTCCAAGAAGTCAGACTCGATCAGCATTATGTTGTCCAGCGCGCACCTGCCCTTGATAAACCCAGCCCGATTTCTGCGCATAGAAAACTGAGCCCGTTGACCAGAAGGAACACACAGCAGCGAAGCGAAGGTTTTATTATCAGCATTGCCCGAGAATAACGGACGGGTCTCCTTTGCTTTTTCCTGCGCACCCCTCGGGGAGTCGCCCCCGAGATTTCTGGCCAGGAAACCGCGGCCCCATGGTTGAAGCCTCCAGGAAGAAAGTGGCCAGACATAAAACTCAAATATGCCTGGCATAAGATCTCCATGCACTCCATGCTGCACTTTGCCCAGCCTGAGCACAGGACGCCATCGGGGCCTGCCGCGGCGTCTTTCTTGCGATGAAGAAAGCCGAGCATGTCAGAGAGCGGAACATTCCAGTTGATCCCAGTAGAAACTTTCTGGCAGTGCGCTAGTGGCATCTCTGAGCTGCGCGGGGGCACGTTCGGCGCATCAGCGGCGGTATGCGCGCGGCCCCAGTGTTCAGCGAGCCGGGCGGCGCTATCCTCTAAACTGGTGGGCGCGTGCCCTTGGTTGCCCAGGATGCCCGCGAGCGAAATGCGCCTGTGCTTGGGAGACCAGGCCTTCAGAAGTTTGTGCTGCTTGACTGTGCGCTCGCCGTCGTGCTGGTACTCTGGGGACTGCTCGTGCTCACGGGGCTCAAGAACCAGGGCGCGTTCTTGCATGATGCGGATGTGCTCGTGGAACCTCGCCTGATCTATGATGCGCCCGTGCTGCACGTCTGTGAACTGCGCGATTTGGTCGCATGCGCGTGCGCACTTGCGCATGATGTGGCTTTGTCCGTTCGCACTGGCACGCATGCATTTCAAACAAACCATGAGACGATGGGCATCCGTTTGTACACCATATCGGTAAATGCGTGACTGTATCTCCGCAGTCGCTATATGCATGCACTCTTTGATCTCCTCTAGAGCGAGGAGGGGGTCCGTGGACGGGGCCAATGCGGGCCCGAGCCTCATCCGCCAGCTGTGCAAATCCAGGGCGGGCGGTCACCCAAGATGGTATACTGGCCTAGGACCGAAGCCCTGGAGAAAAACGAAAAAAAAAAAAAAAAGCTGGAACATGATCACTCGGCTCACCAGCTTTCAAGACGTGCCCAATGATTCCAGCAGTAGGCTTGGCCTCCAAGACTGTAGCCGCGGCAGCAAAAGTATATACGCGATCAATACGTCCCAGAGACTGAATACCTCCCCCAAGGTCCCCTGCCCTATGCGCGGGCTCGTCTTGCGCCAGCTCGAGCGCGTTCGGGAAGAGCTCACGAAAGCGCCGAAGGAGAGCAGGACGTTCAGGACGCTGGTACTCACCATCAGTCCTGATTCGGGTCCCTCCTGGCTCTAGGAAGTTAAAACCGCCTGCAAGGAAAGTCAAACACGAGCTGCTGTGAGGGAGGGTCTCAGCGATTTTCTCGAGAACAGAAAACTTCTCAGCATCATTGAAAGTGGGATCGAGGTGTATATTGTACACTTTGAGGTCACCCTGAGGTCCTTGGAGAGAAAGAGAGAGAGGAGACGGCCGTGTACATGCTCGCAATGCTCCACACTCGTGAAGTTGGCAAGGAAAGAGTTGGCCACGCTGATCGTAGCTCCACACGCATTCGGGTTCTCGCAAAACGTGCCGGAATGCGTGTGCATGTGATAATCCCTGCGCAGGGTCTCGAGGTCAGCATATGTTCCATGTGTTTCTTGCATGAGTATAATGGTATGTGCTTTGATAAGAGTGCGGAACTTGCGAATCCGATTTCTCTGCCGTATGGGATCACCATACACACTTCCAAAGAAGGCTCTTGAATTCCATGTGCTTATCGCCAGGTGCTGCTGTATCTGCCACGGACATTCAATGATAATGTCTGCGCTGCTGCCCGAGGGGGGTGGAGGAGGAGAGCTGCACTTAAATCGCTTCCCAAGACTGCGAGCGAGGGCGGAGGCGTGTGAGGGAGCATCAGCAGTATAGGCAAAAACAGATGCGGCAGCATCGGCATCTTCAACAGAACATGGTGCGCCTACTTCCAACTCGCGGTAGGCGCTGTTGACCGCGGCAGGCAAGTCCTGGACCTGCTGCTCTGTGGGGCCGAAGTTGCGCAATTCCTGAAAGCATGTCTCGACCACCACCTTCGATTCAGTCCATGACGAGAGCATCACCAAATCAATCGGCTCGTCGCGCACGGTGGTGTAGCATAGGCCCTGGTACGTGTTGCAGGCGAGCACTATCGTAGATGTCCAGCAACCGTTCATGCGCATGTACGCGCAAATCTGCGTCCAGATGAGCCCGAGGATGTAGCCCTTCTTCTTCATGTCATATGGTTCGTCGAAACCGATGCGCAGGTCATGCTGCGTGCCAGTTGAGGCTTGGGTGAACTTGATAGGGTGGTCGCGAGCCCGCTCGTAGAAAGACTTTGCGTGCTCCTGCGATTCAAACTTGATAGCATATGCGAATCGTAAGCTCTGACAGTGTAGTACACATTTATCACGGTACTCCTGAGGCATATTGGTTTTGAGGATCGCAAAGTGTCGTTCGAACACATTATTCAGCTGCTTCTTTGGAAATCCACGAACCCAAATCTTCGTCTTGTCAGCAGGCACTGTAGGTCGCACCGATGATGGAGTCGTGGATGGTGGAGCAGTCGAACGACCCGATGCCGAGCCACGTACGGCGGCCCATGGGTCAGAGGACAGCTGGTCCATTTTTCGCAGCATCTCCGCGAAGCTGGCCTCGAGACTTTGCAATCTCGCTGACGCCGAGCATGTGCCTGCCATCCCATCGACCTGCTCCATCTCCGTATCTGCTCCCTGTTGCTGTCTCTGAAGCTTGAGTTCCAGCTCGTCCATGCGCACGCTGTGGGCCTGAATGTCATCCTTCATGGAGTTGATGGTGGCTGTGTTCTGCTAAACCCCTGCAGGGAGCCACCCATCCATCTCTTTGATGGCCGTCAGGTTGCCAGCGAGCGTTGCGTTCATCGAATCCATCTGGGCATTTAGCGGCCTAAGAGTCTCATTCAGCATGATCCGAAGAGCCGCTGGGTCGAGAGCCATCGCACCGATGGAGAGCTGCACTCGTTGGCGGGTGCGATACACAGAGGCAAAATGCGTGTGGGTGGGATGAACAGAAAATGCGGTGACCCCTGTCCTTGGGGCCTCTCCAGGGTCACACACGCGCGCGGCGGGCGCTGGCCACTTGAGCCAAAATGGCACCGGATGATGATGATGGTGATGATGATGCTGATGATGATGAGGAGCAGGAGGTAAGTCAACGATCACAGGACGAATCCGCCAGAACAACACAGTTGACGGACACCACGACACCTTGATGAGAGAGGCCGTTTAGCGCGCAGAGGTCTGCCCTCCTTCCGGTCAATAACTATTTGATCGACATCCTCGGCGCACCCTTTGGCTGTTGACTGTCGTCACGGAACTGCCGCGGCAACTGCTAAAACGATCGGCTCGGGAGCTCACTGCTTCGCGGCGCGCGCGACGAGGGCGGCGCGGGGAAGGCCGCCTTCTGAGAAGGCAGACGGCTAGACGCACTCCAGCCTTCTGAGAAGCCTTCCTGGAGGCACCTGAACCTGTTCGTAAAGAAACGAAGAGCTGTCAGAACCTTACTGAAGGGGCCCTGGGACACAAATAAATACACACACATAAACAAAGATATTCCCCATATTTTCATATATTTTCTGGGTTTTTGTCGTCCCCACCACTTCCCATATTTTCTCATATTTTCTGGGGGATCGACGATTAATTGTGTCTGTGTGGTTTTTTCCCTCCTGACTTACGCCGTCGGAAGTTTGCGCGGACTTCTCCAGTCGGCGCCGGGCCTCCCTCCTCTCGGCGCGCCCCAACATCGCCAGGGGCGGTGCCGGAGCACCACCGGGGTGGCCCAGCGGCAATCCAGGACATCCGCGCGGATCTCCGACAGTTCACGGTTACTCCAGATTTCGTAATAAAGGGAGGGGGGTCTCATTTCGGGGGGGGGGTCTTTTCCAAGCTATCTTGGAGGGCCTGGGGGGTCTGGGGACGATGTTTTGGAGGGTTCTCCCACGGGGGAGGTCTGGAATGGCTCGTCTTGGAGGGTCCAGACCCCCTCCCTTTTATTACGACATCTGGAGTATGCTTGTCGTTCTTCTTCGACTGGTGGAGGGCTCGTTGCCCTCCTCAGGAGCCTCAATGCCCTCTCACCAGGGAGCTGGAACCCCACGCATGGCCGGCTTCACATGCAGAGCAGAGGACGGCCCCGCGCTGGACACACACAACAGGTGCAGGGCTGGCCCCTCCGGCCGTTGCAGGGGCAGGGCGCGGGGAAGACCCTCTGGCCAGGCGCGGAGGGCTCCACGAGCCCTGCGCCTCGAGCGGGTTGCCCTCCCTTGGAGGGCAACGTTTCACATCCGCTGGCCCCCGCTGGCCCCGAGGAGGCCACCCCTTCGGTCCTCGAGGCCCAGACCTGCGACCGCCTGTTTTGTTCAGTGCGGGGTCCCTGGAAGTCCCGACCCTCTCCCCGGGATCGGTTTTCCATCCCGAGTCGTTGCTTGACGGTCCCGAGGCCACGCGAGGGCTCCCCGAGGCCGAACTCGGCGAAAAACTTCCCGTCCTGATCTTCACGCGAGGGCTCCCCGAGGCCGAACTCGGCGAAAAACTTCCCGTCCTGATCTTCTAGGCGACGCGATCATGTCTGGGGGGCGAGGCCGTCTCCGCGGCGTCTCCTGTCGCTCCTGCGATCCAGCGCTCGCCCAGGCCGCCCGCGCCGTCCAGCCTGCCATGGCAGAGGGCCCCCTCCTGCGCCTCCGCTAATCATCCCCGGAGCCCCGACGCCATGCCGCCGTCACAGCGCCGACCCCTAGAGGTCTCGACCCCTGCCCCGGCGCCAGAGGTTTCCTCCCGAGTCGTTTTATAAAAAACTGCACTAACAGAAGCTTTTGGCGTTCCCTGCGGATTTCCTGGATCCGCGTTGGGCTCCCCTCCCTGGCGCGCGGAGTGCGCCGGCGCAGGGGGGACCAGCGCGGATCCAAGAAATCCGCGCGGAGTGCCAAAAGCTTATGTTTGTGCCGTTTCTTCTTCTTCGACGCTCCTCGACGGCACCGAGGCCCGGCGAGGGCCCCCAGGGGCAGAACAAACAGCGACAACGAAGGCCCGAGGGGCTCTGGGTCTCCAAGCGAGCCGCTGGCCCACGCAGGCCAACGCGACACGTTCTGTCGCGGTCGGGGCGGGAGCGGTTCGTGCTTCGTGCCCCCTGCTCGACCACGCGCACAAGAGCGCCCCTGGGTGAGAGAGTGGCCTTCGGTGCGCTCGTTGGGGGCCGCGGGGGGGCCAACACGCGAACGCGCAAGACGCCACTGCCGCACCGCGCTCGGCGACCGGGGGACCCCACGGGGCCCGCACCCAAGGCCACTCCGACGAGAGGTCCCTCTGACGTGTAGTCGACCTACACGCTCGTAGGCATTTCAGACATGCGACGTCCTGATGTTTCCCAACCATCCTGTGGTGTTGGGTCCTCGTTTTGAAGAGACAGTGCCCCGCGTCCTTCCTCCCGCTGCCCCCCCTCCCTCTCCCCTCCTCCTCCTCTCCTCTCCTCTCCTCCTCCCACTGCTCCTCCCTCCTCCAAGAGGAGCGCCGCCCTCTCTCCTCTCCTCTCCTCTCCTCTCCTCTCCTCTCCTCTCCTCTCCTCTCCTCTCCTCTCCTCTCCATTTCGGCACACCACTCACACGTTTCGTGGCCCCACAGGGGGCCGCACCGGAGGACCGAATGGCTGCGTTCGCATGCGCCCACCGCGCCCATGTCGGCACACACCTCACACGCTTCGTGGCCCCACAGGGAGCTCCACCAAAGGCCCCAGTGGCTGCGCCCGCATGCGCCAACCGCACCAATTTCGGCACACCCCTCACACGTTTCGTGGCCCCACAGGGAGCTCCACCGAAGGCCCCAGCGGCTGCGTTCGCATGCGCCCACCGCACCCATTTCGGCACACCCCTCCGTGACGCGCCCCTGGGACTCCAGCAATCTTGATCAAGCGCCTCGATATGCTTCTGCGCAAGCCTGGTGAGTTACCCATGACCTTAGACTTCTTGACCGCGATCTTGAGTTTAACGTTCTTCAGCTGCTGCACCAATACACGGGTAGCGACCGCGAGATCGTCCTCCACGCGCTTGGTACCGCCCCAACGCTGGAGCACCAGGTCGTCGACCACGATGGATGGCGTGATGGCCCCGAACTGCGCGACCATCTGGTCGAGCGGCTGCAACGGCATGAGCTTCATGAAGCCCGTGGCAAACGCGTCTCCAGCGAGCATCGTCTGGAAAACCTGCAACTCCTGCGGGCAACACCCGTCGAGGTGCAGCGGCCTCGGCGCACGGAGCGGAGAAATCTGCAGCTTGGCCAGCCAGATCGGACAGCCGAACTTGATGGCTGCCAGCACAAGGCACCGATGCGAGACCTGATCGAATGCCTTCCAAAGGTCCAGCAGGATGCTGGCAGAGGCCGAGTCTAGATCGGGGTGAGGTTCAGCCATCGCGCAATCCACTCTGATCTCGTCTGCTGCTGCCACGCCGCTCTGTCACATGAGCGCCCTGAGCACGCCCACCAGTAGGGCCTGTCACTGGCCTTCTCCCACTGCTGCATGATGGGCCTGCGAGGCCTGCCGTGAACTCTGACCACCGCTGCCAACCACGCAATGGGTCAAAGGCCTCCGTCAGCCTTGGGAATGAAGGCCATCTTGGTGATGAGGTTGGGCCAATCTGCATGCTGCCCGATGGCCATCAGCAAATCCGTGAGGGCCTCAATCCCTAGGTCATCCATTAGACTGAATTCAATTGGACGGACGCTGTCAAAGTTGGACCCAGACTGAGGCTTGAAGGACGAGATCACTTTCCGCAGCTCCGCCACAGAAGGCCAGTCGGGGGGTTCTCCGAAGTCCCCGGGCCAATGCAGACGGTGCCTCTCAGGCTCGAGCCCCCTCGGGGTCTTCGCGCCATGCGCGCCGCCACCTGCTGCCTGAGCTGGCAGGGCCTGGGGGGCGACGGTGCCCCAGTAAACGGGCCACTCGTCGACCAACGCCTGCAGGCTCTGCTGAATGGTGAGCGGCGACACACCAACTGGCCACGCCATCTATGTTGGCTGGCTTCGCATCCCAAATCTGAACCGCTTTCGTGAGAGCATGGGTGCCGCCTGAGCCCGTGGCGACAGACTGCAACACCCAGCCGTTGTTGCTCTTGGATGCTTGATCGAGACCCGTCTTGACCATTGCCTCGGACCAGCTGAAGTACGCCGCACTCAGCACCTCAAGCTGATCAAGGGAGAAACCCTGCGCGCCGCTGGCGATGATGCCGCCCACGCCCTGCAGCGGTGAAGTCGGACAGCGGCCTGCCAGCTAGCCTGCCCAATGCACGCAGGGCTCCGAACCTGGCGGGCGGCCTCTCGATCTGCGCCGCGCCGCGCAGACAGATGGCCACCGACCTGCGCCGGGCCGAAGCCCGGGTGACGGGCGGCAGCCTAGGCGGCGACGGCGCCGCGGCTGAGGCGGCGACGGCGCCTGGGCCGTTCCGCGCGGCTTGAACGCCTGCAGCGGTCGTGGATGCGCCCGCGCGCGTCAATCATGTTGACCTCCGCCTGCTTGACGAACGCCTGCCGCATGCTGTCTAGGTCGGTCATGCGCTCGAGCTGGTCACGAACGGCCCGCCAAGCTGGGCCATGATCCTGCGCGCAACAGGCCAGCGGCCTGGACAGAGGCAGCCGCTTGGCCGCGCGCGCGACGGTGACCTTCTGGTGCCTGCCCAGGCCAAGCAGCTCGAGCGCAACTGGGCACGTGGCCTCCGCGGGCGCGGCAAGGGCCGCCCGCGCCGCCTCTAGCCAACCAGACTCTTCCAAGACTGACGGCTCCATGCTGAAGTCCCCGCGCACGATGAAAGGCCTGTTGGCCGCCTGCGGGGCAGTGGGCACCGCGCAGAGGGCGTCGGCATTGCTCTGGTTGAGCCCGACGTTGGCCTCCAGATACACGTAGGCCCACGCGATGCCGCCTCTGCAGAGGGATGATGGCGCGACCAGGCTCCAGCACCGCCTGCTTGCCGAGCAGGTCGAACGGCCCGGTCCCGATGAGCTGGGGCGCCATCTGCCCAAGGTCCCCAGTGCCCTGGGAGCCAAAACCAGCGTTGATCGCTGGCGCGGCCTCCGAGGCCCATCCGAGCCGTCGAAGCTGCACCTGAACGTCTTGGGTGCGCTGCGAATCCAAATGCGTCTCATGAGCGGCAACGAAGTCGCAGCAACTGGCAGTGGCTGTGCCAAGCAGGTTGGCGAACCTCGACCACGCATTGCAAGTTACCGTGAAACTTACCCGCCAACGCCCATGCTTGCCCGCCGTCCTGGGCATGCGAGGGGAACGATTGCCACCAATGGCCCCGCTGGGGCCGCTACCACGAGGTCTTGGAGCGCTTGGCGGCCCTGAGCGTGTCCAGTGCCTCCTGGAGCCTCTTCCTCCCGTTCTCGTCCGCAGCGCTGCCGAGAATCCCCCCAGGATCCTCGCCCTCCATGGTCTTGTCGAACTTCTCGCTGCCTGGATCTCCTGCCATGGGAGCAGCAGCCTCATCTGCGCCACCACCTGCGCCTGCACCAGGAGCGCCTGGACCCCAACCTGCGGCTGGCACAGAGCGGGCAGGCTCTGGCTCGGGATGTGGTGGGGCTGCGGCAGCAGCCATCTCGCCCAGAATCGTGGCGAAGCTAGCCAGGACCTCAGCGCCCGACTTGCCCTCCGTGTCGATGGGGGGCGACCTTATCTTTGACGGGGCGGAGCATGTCGTCGGCCGTGGTGGGCGAGTAGAGCGTCGCCGTCTGCTTCTTGGTCTGCTCGAGCTCCGCTTTGCGCTCGGCGAGGGTCCGATCCGCTTCTGCCAGCGCCTCCAGAGCCTTGCGAGAGTTTTCCCAGAGGCGCTCACGCTTGGCTGTGGCGTCGGCGACGGCCAGCGATGCTTGATCGACTGCCACAGGGGGCTCCCGCGCCTCCGAGCCCAAGGCAACAGCGGCTGCCTTACGACGTGCCAGCTCGACCTTGTCTCGACTGCTGCGTGAAAGTCCGTCCTTGACGATCTCATACGACTCCATGGCCATGGCTGCGTCGGCTGCAATCTTCTCTTGCGGGAACGTGAGGGTCGCGGGAGCAGCAGGCCCTCCGCCGTTAGGTCCGAACCCGTTGCCACCACGCCCTTTGCCGCCGCCGCCTTTGGGTCCCTGCTTAGTCCAGGGAGCTCCGAGGTTGCCGCCGCCGGCTGCCCACTTACCCCAAGGCTTGCGGTTGTCGTTCGCTGCTGGTACGGTGTGGTCCGTCTGCTTGCCCTTACAGCCAGCCCTGGTACAGAGTGAGAGATGTTGTGGCGTATAACCACCGATGAGAGCCAGAGGGTCCAAGCGAACGGAACGCATGAGGGGTGTCCCTAAATCGGTGGGTGGCGACGCATGTGGCCACTGCCACTGGAGCGTTTGGTGGTGCCCCCTATGAGGCCACGAAGCGCGTGAGGGGTGTTCTCAAATGTTTTGGTGGACACGTGGCCACTGCAACTGGGGCCCTCGGTGGAGCTCCCTCTGGGACCACACATTGCGTGAGGGGTATCCCGAAACGGAGGGGGGGGGACGCATGTGGCCACTGCAACTAGGGCTTTCGATGGAACCTCCTATGAGGCCACGAAGCGTGGGAGGGGTGTGCCGAAATGGGCCCGGCGGCCGCATGTGGACACTGCCTCTGGGGCCTCTGGTGGAGCTCCCTATGGGGCCCCAAAGCGTGTGAGAGGTGTGCTTAATTGGGTTGGGCGGCCGCATATGGACATGACCCCTGAAGCATTCCGAGGAGCGCCCTATAAGGCCACGCAACGCGTGAGAGTTGAGCGGACATGAATGGGACGGCCGCATGTGGACATGACCTCTGGGGCGTTCGGGGGAGCGCCCTATAAGGCCACGAAACGCGTGAGACTTGCGCGGAAATGGATGGGAAGGCCGCGTGTGGGCATGGCCACTGAAGCCTCTGGTGGAGCTCCCTATTGGGCCACGAAGCGTGGGAGGGGTGTGCCAGAATTGGTGCGGCCGCATGTGGACACCGCCAGTGGGGCCGTTGGCGGAGCTCCCTAAGCTGCCACGAAGCGTGTGCCACGAAGCGTGTGAGGGGCGTGCCGAAATGAGAGGGGCGGCGGCATGTGGACATGGCCACTGGGACCCTCTGTGGAGCTCCCTATTGGGCCACGAAGCGTGTGAGAGGGTGTGCCAGAATTGCTGCGGCCGTATGTGGACACCGCCACTGAGGCCCTTGGTGGAGCCCTATGGGACCACGAAGCGTGTGAGGGTCGTGCCGAAATGAGTGGGGCCACGAAGCGTGCGAGGGGCGTGCCGAAATGAGAGGGGCGGCGGCATGTGGACATGGCCACGGGGGCCCTCGTTGGAACCTCCTATGGGGTCACGAAGCGTGTGAGGGCCGCCGAAAAGTATGGGGCATTCGGAGGAACGCCCAATGTGGCAACGCCACTGTGGGAGGTGTGCGGAAATGGGTGGGACGGCCACATGTGGACATGGCAACTGAAGCCTTCGGAGCAGCTCCCTATGAGGCCACGAAGCGCGGGAGGGGTGTGCTTAATTGGGTTGGGCGGCCGCATGTGGACATGGCCTCCGGGGCCTTCAGGGGAGCTCCGTGGCGCCACGAAACGTGTGAGGGGTGTGACGAGATGGGTTGGGCGGCCGCATGTGGGCATGGCCTCTGAAGCATTCCGAGGAGCGCCCTATAAGGCCACGCAACGCGTGAGAGTTGAGCGGACATGAATGGGACGGCCGCATGTGGACACTGCCAGTGAGCCTATGGATGAGCTCCCGTCGAGGCCACGAAGCGTGTGAGTCGTCGTGCCGAAATGTGTGGGGCCCTCGCGTGTGGACACCGCGTCTGGGGCCTTCGCTGGAGCTCCCTATAGGGGCCGCGAAACGTGTAAAGGATGTGCCGAACTGGTTGACTGATACCGAGAGCAGAGGCAGGCATGGGCGAAGAGAGGATGAGAGGAGAAGAAGAGGAAGGGCGCGGGGCGCCGTCTCTTCAAACCGACGAGCCAGCACCACAGGATGGGTGGGACAAATGTGCGCTGTATTGTTGTTTACTTCTCTTGTCCTTCCTCCTCTTCGATGTTTGGCCTATCGGCCCGGAGGCGCCGATGGCTCAGTCCAGCGCGGCGGTCTCGTCCTCCGACGCGCTGCTCTCCTCGGGCGCTGCTGCATGCGGGTGGCAACATAAGGGGAACCTGGGGGGGGGATTGGGGGGGAGAAGTGGGGGGGAGGAGGAGGAGGAGGAGGAGGAGGAGGAGGAGGAGGAGGAGGAGGAGGAGGAGGAGGAGGAGGAGGAGGAGGATAAGGAGGAGGATAAGGGAGGAGGAGGAGGAGGAGGAGGAGGAGGAGGAGGAGGAGGAGGAGGAGGAGGAGGAGGAGGAGGAGGAGGAGGAGGAGGAGAGAGGAGGTGCTGTGTCGCTCCGCCGTCGTCTTTCTCGACAGTGGACGACGCCGACACGACGACGAGCGACGGCTTGTACAATGCGGACGCGGCCGCCAGACACCCTCGCAACAAGCCCAGCCCTGCAAACCCTCGCGCGCGAAATGCGGGGGTGAACCTAGAGCACCCGGAACGCACCAGCTTCTTCGACGGCCGCGAGAAGCCACCGCGCAGACCGCAGAGCGAAGAAGCCCAGGGCACCCTGACGGAAAGCAATCAGTTTCTTGATGCGCGACCCCACTGTGCAGGCTGCCACTTTGCATCGAAAGGCGCACCTCCCCGTGCACCTTTGGGGCTCTTTTCTTTGGGCCCCTGCCTTGCCGGCCGTGGGGAGGCTTCGAAGAATCGAGCCGCATGCATGGCCGACGCATCGGCGCTGCGGCGCGATCTCGCGACCCCATCTGCTCGGACCCCAATAGAGGACAGACCCCCAGCCCATGCTGGCCTCAGAGAGGCCCCCCGTGCGCGGAGCGCCCCAGGCGCGTCGCCGGAGGCGGCGCTCGGGTGATAAGACAGCCCCGGACTACTCGGGGGGCCTCTTGATGAGGCCAGCTGGCACTAACCTCATGTGCGGTTACTCGGGGGGGCCTACTGAGGCCAGCCGGGAAAACCTGAGGGGGGTGTCTACGCAACTCGAAGCCTTACGGCAAAAAGGCATAGGAGTTAAGAAGTCCTCGGACAAGGAAGCCAGGGTCTGGAAGCCGATGGAACTCCAGTTGTGGACTGGCCATTGATATCATCGATGCCCTAACCAACGACACCTCCTTCACCAACATGCGCACATTCCTTAACCACGGCAGTCTGAAGCCGCATGCGCACATTCCTTAACCAACGCCCACGCGAATTAGAGGCCTCCTAGATGGGGTCGGATGATCTCGACGCACCAGTGCCGTCGGCGTGGAGAAACTCGGGCTGCATATCGACCCGCATCGGCGATGCATCGGCGTTGCGGCGCGATCCTCCGACCCCACCTGCTCGGACCACCTTCGGAATCCTGGACGATCGCGCTCCCAGGGCACTCCCAGGGCCCTTTCAGGCCGGGACGCTCCCAGGGAGCGCCTGGGAGGCAGGCGCCCTGTGAAAACACCCCTGGGAGCGCCCTGTGGGGCGGCCTGGGAGCGCCCTGGGAGCGCCCAGGCGGAGGAGGTATGCGGAGGAGGATAAGGGAATACGAGGAGGAGGAGGAGGAGGAGGAGGAGGAGGAGGAGGAGGAGGAGGAGGAGGCGGAGGAGGAGGAGGAGGAGGAGGAGGAGGAGGAGGAGGAGCGAGGAGGAGGGAGGAGGAGGAAGGAGGAGGAGGAGGAGGAGGAGGAGGAGGAGGAGGACCAGTGCAGACCCAAGAGCCATCAACGATGTTCGAATACATCCTGCCTCCAAGCTTCCTCTTCATAGGCCCCTACAACGGTTCATTTCCATTGAGGGATCTGCCTCGTTGGAAGACAGCCGTGTGAAGATCCAGAAGCATACCAAAACATTGTTCTCGGGGGTCCAACGCCACGGACGTTGCGCCCGTTTTGACGATCCTGGATAGTGCCAAAACGCCATTTCTGGGATTCCAACATTGCGAATCAACGTAATGTTGCACCCGCAAAATGCGAAATCTTTCCCAAACGCCATATCTGGCACGTTGATCGCAGGAATCCGTGAAACTCTTGCAAGATGTATGAGAGAATGTGCGCGGAGCTACGGCGAGAACCACATGTTGAAAAGGAACCGCCCTCAATCCGTGAAACTCTTGCAAATTTTAAGAACGAATGTGCGCGGCGCTAAAACGAGGGCCACATTTCAAAAACGGGTTATCCTCAATCCGTGAAGCTCTTGTATATCAAAAAAACGAGTGTGCGCGGCACGAAGGAGAGAGCCACCTTTCGAAAACGGGTTATCGTCAATCCGTGAAGCTCTTGCAGATGTTGAGAACGAATGTGCGCGGCGCCAAGGCGAGAGCCACATTTTGAAAACCAACCGCCCTCCATCTGTGAAGCTGTTGCCAATTTTAAGCTTCAAAATCATACGTGGTGAGGACATCTCAGGCGAAACGCCCGGCCCGCCCAAAAAACTGGCCTCGGGGTGCGAGAGGAAAAGGAAAAGGAATGAAGGAGGAGGAGGAGGAGGAGGAGGGGGAGAAGGAGGAGGAGGAGGAGAAGGAAGGAAGGATGATGATGATGATGATGATGATGATGATGATGATGATGATGATGATGATGATGATGATGATGAGATGATGATGATGATGATGATGATGATGATGATGATGATGATAGGAGGAGGAGGAGGAGGAGGAGGAGGAGGAGGAGGGAGGAGGAGGAGGAGGAGGAGGAGGGGAGGAGGAGGAGGAGAAGGAGGAGGGAGGAGGAGGAGGAGGAGGGAGGAGGCGGAGGAAGGAGGAGGAGGAGGAGGAGGGAGGAGGAGGAGGAGGAGGAGGAGGAGGAGGAGGAGGAGGAGGAGTGGAGCGCCCTGTGGGGCGGCCTGCGAGCTCCCTGGGAGCGCCGCCCCCCCCCCCCGTTGCGCCGCGCCCCGTCTCCGGGGACACCTCGCTCTCCGGCTCGGGCGGGCGCGCGGCCCCGCGGGCGGCCGGCGCGGGCTCCGCGGCGGCGCCGCGGGCGGGCGGCGGCCCCTCCCCCGACATGAGCAGCAGCTCCTCGGCGAGGGGGGATGGGCCCTCTCCTGACGAGGGCGACCCCCCAGGCAGGCTCGCGTCGGGGGGGGGGAAAAAAAACAGGACGGGAGGTTTTCGGCCAGGTGCGGCCTCGGGGGGCCCTCGCCGGGCTGCGGGACCGGTCGAAAAATGACTCGGTATGAAACCGGTCCCGGGGAAAGGGTCGGGACTTCCAGGGGCCCCGTGCGGAAAAAATCAGGACGTCGCATTCGGGGATGGACAGACCCCCCTTTAGTAAAACGTGGTGTAGTGAAAGCGACCTGAAGCCCAAACCTGGCGGGCGCAAGCCTGGAAAATCACGGCCACGGCGCCATCTCGAGAACCGAAAACGGACAATTCACTAATCGACGTGTCACTGTTGGGGGTTCTGTCCACCCCCGACGCATGTCTGGGGTCTTTTGCCGACGAGGGCGGCCCTGAGGTCCTGGCGACCCCATTTTGTTCGAGCCAGGCGTTTGCGCCCAAGGCCGGGCCGTGGGGCCCTCACAGATCGATTTAACTCGACAAGCGACTCTGAACGATGGGGTCTCGGGCTCCCGTCGTGCTTTTTCGCGACGTTTCGAATCTTTCGGGGCGCAGGATCTAAAAGGGGAGGAAGAGGACGAGCGCGACCGCAGCACCCGACCCCATCTTCCTGCGTCGCTGCTCGAGCTCGATCGATCTGTGATGGCCCCAGAGCCCGAAGCCCGAGGAGGAGGAGGAGGAGGAGGAGGAGGAGGAGGAGGGAAAGGAGGAGGAGGAGGAGGAGGAGGAGGAGGAGGAGGAGGAGGAGGAGGAGGAGGAGGAGGAGGAGGGAGGAGGAGGGGGGGGGGCAGCCTGGCAACGCCTGGGTGCCTCAGACGCCCGGTGGCTTCCGAGGCCTCAGCTCGGCTCTCCGGCGGCCGTCTTCGGGAGGACCCGGGCGCCCCCGGGACGCTGCTCTCGGCGAGGCGCAGCTGCTGGAAGGCGCCCCGAGGCTGGACAACCGCCGAGAAGCAACGAGAGCGGCCGAACGTCGCGACCCGCCACACTCGGCTCAGGGCTCGGGGCGCGACGACGACCGCGCGAGCGGGCACCGCACGGCCTGGCCACGCCGGCAGGGGCGGGCCTCCGCCTGGGACGACGCTGGCGACCACCACGACGACGATGACCACTGTGGCGACGGCGACCACGACGGCGGCGACCACGACGACGCTGGCTGGAAAACCGCCGAGAACCAACGAGAACGGCCGAACACCGCGACCCGCGACACTCGGCTCGGGGCTCATGGCACGACGACGTCAACGACGAGGACGACGACGACCACGACGACGCCGACGACGCCGACGACGACGACGACGACCACGACGAGGACGAGGACGAGGACGAGGACGAGGACGAGGACGAGGACGAGGACGACGACGACGACGACGACGAACGACGACGAACGACGACGACCAGGGGCCGCCGCCCCCGGCAGCTCCTCCAGGGGGTCGACGGCCCGGACCTCGCCGCGCGTCGGCGGCAGGGCCGCGGCGCGCCGGCTCTGCCAGTGGAGCGCGAGCGCGAGGACGAGCCAGCCGCCGGCGCCGACGAGGCCGAGCACCGCGGAGGCGGCCGCCACCCGCGACGCGCGCTGGTCGGCTACGCGAGGAGAGCCCAGGGCGAAAAACAGACGATACGCAAAGAGATGCCCCCCAAATAGTCCACGGCAGTGAGAAGAGCGCCCCCGGACTATGTTTGGACTAATTTGGGGATGCTCCTCCTGTAGAGCGACGTGCCCGACTTTGGCATCTCGACGGATGGTGTTTTTTTCTGCGTGTTCGGCCTCTGGGGGCCCCTTGCTGGGCCTCGGGAGCGCAACAAAAAACGACACGGGATTAAAAAACGGGTCCCGTGGAGTGGGTCGAGACCTCTGCGGGTCGACATTGCATGACAACAAAAAAGGCACGACGCACTCTCTTTGATGGAAGAACAACACCAGCACACACACACACACACACGCACGCACGCACGCACGCACGCACGCACGCACGCACGCATGCACGCACGCACGCACGCACGCACACACACGAACGACCCAGACACACGACCCAGACACACGACCCAGACACACACACACACACACACACACACACACACACGCACACACACACACACACGACCCAGACACACGACCCAGACACAGACACACACACACACCCACACACCCACACACACACCGGATTTGTAGGGAGGGGGAGTGGGGAAGGGTGCAAATATGATGGGGGCTGAAGGCATGGGTGCGGGTTGTCGGACCCCGAGGGCGCCTCTTGTCCCAGATACACGACGTCATGACTTTTCCCCGACCTCCTGCGTTGGGTTCTCGTTTCGGCCAGAGCACTGTGGTCGCGACTCCTCTCCCGTCCTCCGCCTCCCCTTCCTTCCCCCTCCTCTTCAAGCACTCTTGCGCTGCTCCCTGGGTGGCTGCGACCACGACTGAGTCGGGGAGTACGCGGATCCAGGCGGGACCTTGCAGCTCCCTGAGGGACTGCGAACTGCGCAGCCGGCGCCACTTTCGTGGGCTCCTGGGAGGCACGGCGGAGTTAAGGGAGTACGCGGTTCCAGTCGGTATCTCGCTGCTCCCTGGGTGGCTGCGAGCTGCGCAGTTGTCGCAACTTTCCTGGGCTCCTGGGAGGTCCACCGCGGTCGGGGAGGACACGCACCCAAGCCGAGACCTCGCTGCTCCATGGACGGCTGCGAGCTGCGCAACTGGCGCCACTCTCGTGGGCTCCTGGGCGATCCAGCGGAGTCGGGAGGCACGCGGATCCAGCCGAGACCTCGCTGCTCCCTGGGTGGCTGCGAACTGCGCAACCGGCGCCACTCTCGTGGGCTCCTTTGAGTTCCAGCGGAATCGGGGGCCACGCGAATCCAGCCGAGACCTCGCTGCCTCCTGGGTGGCTGCGAACTGCGCAATTGTCACCACGTTCGTGAGCAACTGGGAGGTCCAGCGGAGTCGCAAGCCACGGGCACTCAGAAGGGACCTTGCATCTCCCTGGGGGACCGCGAACTGCGAAACTATCACCACTTTCGTGGGCTCCTGGGAGGTCCAGCGGAGTCGGGGGCCACGCGGATTCAGCCGAGACTTCGCTGCTCCCTGGGACACGGCGGGGATGAGTGCAGCGCAGATTGTGCTCATCTGGCGATGTGATGCGATTATTCGCCTCGTTTGGAGAAATAACTTTCCTCGTCGTGCGGGTGCACCGACTGCAGTACGGGTGCACCGTCGCCTCGTCGTTTCGCGTTCATGGGCTGGGCACGCCTCGGGTAATTTAGTGATGTCAACCCCAGAGGTCTCGACCCATTCCCCCGGACTTGTTGTTCATCCCGAGTCGTTGTCTGAGGGCCCAAAGGCCTGGTCGGGGGCCTCAAGGGGCTGCAAATAATGAAAAACCGACCTTGCGACTCGAACGGTTCTGGGGAGTGCGAGCGGGGACCCCCGTCCGACAACGCACGCCCGGACGGGGAGGCGCAGGCCTCCTGACTCGGCGACGCGCACAAGGTATAGAACTCCCGGATCGGGTCCGAGCAGACGGGTCGGAGGGTCGCGCCGAATCGACGATGCATCGGCGACGTCGACGGGGAGAACATCGGGATCCACATCGAGCCGCATCGCCGATGCATCGGCGATGCGGCGCCAACCTCCGAGGAGGTCTCAGACCTCCTCCCCTGGCGGCGCGCACGAGGGGGTGGCGCGAGGGGTGCTCCTAGGAAGGCGTGGCTCTCAGAAGGCAGAGGCCTTTCCAGAAGGCCCCGTCGGCTCCCAGGAAGGCCTCTACAACGGCGTGGGTGGCTCCTCTGCCTTCCCAGAAAGCCCTCCAGGACTCTCGGAAGGGAGCCCCCCTCGCGTCGCCCACCTGGGCGCGCCGCCACCTCCCGCTGCGATCAGACAAGTCACGACGGGACGGTTCTTGCACGGTCTTGCCAACTCCCTGCCCCTGGCCCCTGCCAAGCCCTGGGGCCGCCAAGAGACAGCCAGGTGAACGGCCCAACCCGGGGAACGGAGCGAGATCACTGGGCAAAATGGACGCCCGGTGCGCAATTTCTCTGGGGCAAGGGGGACCCCCGCAGGCCGGTTCGCGCACCAAAAAAGCCCGAATCATAAACCACATACGTAGGCAAACACTCCTGGAGATCCGCGCGGCTTGATTGGACCTGCGCTGGACCCCCCCTCCCCTGGCGCGCGCGGAGCGCGCCAAGGGCTCCGCCGGCGGCGCCGCCAGGGGGGCCCAGAGCCGGTCCAAGAGATCTGCACGGAGCTCAGAACCAAAATCGTCACGCGGCTGCTTGAAAGGGCCCAGGGACACACACACACACAAAGAACTACACACATATCCAAGGATTTTCTGGATTTTCGTCTCCCCCACCACTTCCCATTTTTTGTCTTGTGTCTCTCTCTCTCTCTCTCTCTCTCTCTCACAGCTCTACATATGTAAATAACTCAACATATTTTCATACATATTATATATACAAGGCTGCATTGGCGCTTCGCACGGTTGGCCTGTCGCGCCTTCCTCTTTTCCCTTTGAGGCGTGCGCGCTCGCTCGTATCACGGAGAAGCGGGGGAAAGGGAGAAAGGGGCAATCAACTTGGGACGGGCAAAGACTGTGAGTCGGAGAACACGGGCGTACGGAATGACGTAAATGGAAACTGCTGAAGTCCTGGGTGCGCAACGGAAATTCCAGAACAATAATTGCGAACCTGGGGTTGTGGGCAAACTGCAGCTCTCCGCAATGAAATACAATATGAACGCGCGAAAACTCAGGGATCTACATGGGGGCCTGCCGAAGCGGTGTGAGGGCCTTGTGGCCCATCTCGGAGCCACCTCGGACTGTCCTCGGGGCGTCTTGAGACTGCCGCTCGCCCGTTTGCACGCTTGGGTGAACGTTGAGAAGGCGCCCTGCAAAGCTGGAATTCCTGGGTGGCCCTGGTGAGGAGCGTCCAGACGGTGTCCCCGAGCTGTCATGCAGCCGCCGTTGGGCAGTTTGGGAGTCGCCTAGGTCCCTCATGGCGCCTTCTTAAAGAGTGAGGATGCTGAATTGGCTCGTGTTGGGACCTCCCCTGGCCGTCAGGGCGCCGCCCATGCGCAGATTGGTGGCCGTCCCGGGCCCTCGTGGGGCCGCCTTGAGGATTCAGGAAGCGCGTTTGGGTTTAGTTGGAGCGGTGTTCGGAGCTTTGACAATGTTTTCGTACGCCAGGCAGGCCGAAGAAACAAATGGTAGGAAATCTTACAACATGATTGAAGCAACAATGTTTTTCGGGTTCGAGCGCGTCTTGGAGGTACCTTTCGGGTCGCCTCAGAGCATCCGGCGAGGCCAACTTGATACCATTTTGGACCGTCATCGGCGTGCCTTGGGCCTTCCGCAGGCCGCCTTGGGGTCAATTTGGGGCGGTCATGGGGCCGCTTGCGGGCAGTTTAGGAGCCGTCTTGGGCTCCCGTACGGCTTTTCTGGAGTCGGGAAAGGCTTTCGGTGCCTCGCCTGCGCGTTCTTGGACGCCTGGCAAGCCGAATGAGGACATAGCCGAAAAGCATACAGAAGCCACAGAACAATTTAGATCTTCAGGGTTTCGAGCGCCTCTTGGAGGCGACACTCGAAGCGCCCCCGAGCATCCAGCAAGGTCCTGGACCGCATGATGCCATCTTGGACTGTTTGTGGCGTCTCGAAGGCCTTGCGCCAGTCGTCGGGGGGTCAGTTTTGGGCGGTCATGGGGACTCTCGTGGGCAGTTTGGGGACCGCTTCGGACGCTCATGGGGCTCATTTGGGCCGTCTAGGAGCGAGCGTCAGTGCGTTTCCAACGTTCTCGAACGCGTTGAAGGCCGAATTAGCGAGTATCCGAAAATCATACAACAACCAATGAAGCGTCGATTTGTTTGGGGTTCGAACGCATCTTTGGGCTGACATTGGGGTGATCTTCGGGCATCCGGCGGGGGTCAATGCTAGCTGGGTGCTGCCATCCTGTACCGTCCTGGGTGGCTCTTGGGCCTTTCGCCGATCGATTTGGGACTGCCACCCGCCTGCGTGCACGCCTTGGCAAGGATTTCTGGCCTCCCCCCGTGCCACGGATCTGGGGGGGTCCGTTTCGGGGGGGCGGGTTCGCCCCGCCCCCCCCTGGATGATAAAAATATAGAAAAGGGTGTGTGTATATATATATACACATATGTATACACATATCCTGGGAGTCGACGATTCTTTGTGTCTGTGTATTTGCCCCTCCTGGCTGTTCCTTCCTCGTCAAAGGGGCCACCTCGACGAAGGGTCCCTCCTGTGCGTGGCCGAGCTGGTGCCCCCCATGGCGGCGAAACAGGAGGCTCCGCAGCAGGCCGCAGGCCCTCGGGGTGCCGCAGAACCACGCGAACATCCCTGAGGCCCCGGAGAGGAGCACAGACACCTGCAGGGCGGGGGGGGGGCGAGGCGGGAAATGTATATATATATATATATATATATATATATGTGTATACACATTTATGTAGATATACATATACATCTATGGGTGTGTATATGAAAATGTGTATATACACCTATATACATATATAGATATATATATATAGATGATATATATATATATATATATATATATATATATATCGTCGGCGGGCCTCGGGGGGAAATGAGAAAGGGGGCGGGCCGTCTCAGAAGGCTCGGAAGGCCCAGGGCCTGACTGAAAAGTGTTCGAAGCCTTCCCCGAGAACACAGGAGACCTCTCAGGAGGCCCGAAGGCTTCTGAGAAGCCCCGCCGCATTCTGAGAGGGCCTCCTTCTCACTTCCCCCCCTCGATCGCTGCCGCAAATCCGCCGCCTGGGAAGCCGACGCCCTGCGGCCCTAGCGGGCCGTGGCTTTGGATAGATTTTCGCCCGCGGGGGCGCGAAGATACCCATATCGAACGCCTGCCGGGGTCCCCGAAACTCGACCTCCCAATGAGTGATTATGGATCAGTCCACGCCTCGGAAGGGGGGGGCGCGACGAAGCGAAGCGAAGCGCGCGGTGTCGGTCCGGCGGGGCCGGCCCTAGGAGGGGGGCGCGGGGGGCCAGGAATCCTCAGGAACCGTCCTGGGCGAAGGGGTGGTTGTGTGGAGGTGGTGTGGCGGAGTACACCGACGAACTCAAACGATCAGTCTTTGTTGATTCCTAGCGTTGTTCTTAGATTTCTGCCTCTGGGCGTGGCACCGGCGGTGTAGTGCCAGTGGTGCTAGTGAGACTCTTCGTAGAATTTCCCCTTCTAGACTTGGCTACATGTGCTGGGCCGTGCCGTATAAAACCCCTGTGGTGGAGCAGCCACTGGTGGCAGCTGCCTGGCGGGGTGTGTTGGACACCTGGGCGGAATGGCAGCACGGGCCCTGTTGTTGTGTAGTCGCTGGTGGCGCTTCCTGGGCCGAGCATGCCAGAGGCCTGCACCGATCGGTGGCGCAAGCCCTGTGGTGTGGCCGAGCGGTTTCCAGGCAGGACGTGCCAGGAGCCCGTGCCTGACGACGGCATGGGCTCTGTCGTGGTGTAGCTGCCCGGTGAGGCGTGTCAGAAACTCGGCACGTACCTCGGTCCTGGTGGCCTGACCCACACAGGTCACGAACGATTGGCGCGCCGCGGCGGGCCCACTGTCGGCAAAGCCGGCACGAAACGTGCAGCCTACACAACAACCCGTTAGCAACCCGATGCTTGCGTGCGTATAGGGCCAAAGTGTGCGCGGGGCCTTGGCCGAAATTTTTTGGATAGCACGGCGATGAAAAACGTTCGTCACGCATGAGCGGGAAACCTTTTGATTCTACACCCCAGCAGTAACTGATTTCGCGTCGTGAATACCAGCGCCCTTTTGTGGGCTACCGTAGATGTTTCGAAATTGCCCTGGTCGCGAATTTGTCCAAGTCCGCAATTGGTCTGAAGTGTGCTGTGGTTGTACCGCTGTTGGCCATGAGTAACTTTGCTGGGCCTGCTGGACCTTCAGATCTGGGTGAGACAGGTCGGCAATATTCCAAACGCGGCGGAAATCGCGCACTCAGGTGGAACCACTCTCTTTCCATCGTGACCAAGAACTGCCCCGACCAACGCATTTTAGATATCCGACGCGCGAGAAGGGAACCAAGTTGCCCAGCGACAACCACCGCAACGCATGGCCATGCGCACTGTCCGCTGACTTGTGGCGGCGTTTCGTTGGGGGGATCCGCGCTCCACGAGCCGCACCTGAAGCTCGTGGGTCGTCGAAGCGCAATCATCCTGGCGGTTCCTTGCCTCGCTCGCCCAGCACACTCGGGACCATGTCCACTTGCCGCTTTGGGTTAACGAGCTGTTGCGCCGAACGGACTTCGGGAATGATCTGACAAATCCCCCTTATTCCGGGAGCTGGTCATGAGTGAAAGCACGCTCATCTTCGCATTGAGGGTGCGTGCGGATATCTGGGCCCTGAATTCGCTTTGGCATGGCCCTCTCGCCTCCTGCCTGAGGCGAAAGGAAGGGGGAGAGGTGTTGTGGTAACGCTCCCAGCGGTGACAGGCCGTTGCGTCAGTGCGCGCGCGACTGTTTAGCAAACGCAACCCGACCCTCCTACAACCGCAAGGTGGTTTGGGTCTCAATTCGGTTGGGCGCGCGTTACACCTGCGGCGTGCCAATAGCGGCACCCTCCAGTATCGCAACCGCCACGGGTCGCGCAGCGCGAGGTACAACGTACCGCCGGCTGCACAGTTGCGCGCGCGCGTTTTCGCGATATGTGCGACTGCTGCGCGCTGGCGTGGTTTGCCTGAGGCACGCGCCAAGGCACGATGAGAACTGTGGAAACGCCTTGGGACTCGGGCCTGCGTAAAGACGAACGCCCTGCTGAGGTAGGGGGAAGCCGTAGTGGCGCTGTTGCCACTGACTGGTTCCAAGGGTAGTGAGACTGGTGCGAGAAAATTCAGTGCTCCACTCGTGCGTCGCGACGTGCTCGCATAGAGGACAGCCAGCACTTTCACACACATTGCGAGGCACGGCGTCGGCCCAGGCAAGTGGTTCACTGTCATGCCCGACGCGAAGCCACGGCTAGTACCTGTGGGGTCGTGGGCATTTTTGGCGTTCGTGGCGCCACTCTGGGCGGACACACGCCTCACGGCGCCTTCAGCTGTTGTTGCCCTCGTGGCTGGTGCCTCCCAGCGACTCGCATGGAGTTGCTTGTTTGTGAGCGCCCAGGGAGAATTACCCGTAGACTTGCATAACAGCCAGCCACAAGCACAAGCTGCTCAAGGAATGGGGGATGCCGACTTTGAAGAGATCGGGGGAAGTGCGAATGTGCGTACATATTGATTACGCTCTGGGAAGTCCGTGGATCGTGAGCTGGGATATCTCCTGGCTCCGCTACCAAATAGAATTGCGCATAGCATTGGTGAGAGGTAGAAGACATGGCAGCGCGGGTAAGAGCATGCCGGCGGTCCTTTCCCGCTTTTATGTGCTAGTCTGTTTGCGCGCTTCAGCCAACATGGCAGCCGGCGAGCACGCGTGCTCCTACTCGACTAGGGAGGGAGGAGGAGGAGGAGGAGGAGGAGGAGGAGGAGGAGGAGGAGGAGGAGGAGGAGGAATTACGGAGTCACGGATATTGCGACCGTGTCGGTTACGATTAAGCTTCGCCCGCTCAGAGGAACCCGGAGAGATTGCGAAACAATGCGTACGTGGGCACCCCACCCCCTGACCACGACCGGGGCCGCCATGACCAGGAAGCCCGGACCAGGACAGAGTAGCCATTCACCTTCTTGCGCGAGACGCTCATGCCCCTCCAGCTGTCGACGTCCAAGGGCGAGATGAGTCCGAAAACAAAGTTCATCGAAACCGCAAGAGCGCCTCTGATATCAAACAAACAGCGAATATACAGTCCCACAAACAAGATGAAGCAAAAAACATGCCGTGCTTGCCCAGTGGAAATGGGCCAGGCTCAGCCGAACTATAATCAAGCCCCCATCGATGCCGTGAAGGCGAGCCGACTCTGGCAGTGGCCCGAACAAAATGCCCGAACGAAACAAATCCACCCTTCTCCTCCAGCAACGCGACGACCCAGAACAAAGAAGCCGAGTACACGAAGGGGAAGGTGTGGCCGAAAGACTTCAACTCTGATTGCAATCCGCCGATCCCGATCCCCCACGTAGGGCATCAGCGTCTCGGAGGAGCCTCGCACGCTCGGTGCCTGTTGCCCATCGCTCGGCATCCGACTGGGCAGGGGTAGCCGCCGCCGTCGCCGTCCCGAGCTCGTGCAATGGCGCACCCACGTCCGAGACAGCACCTCCAGCGCAAGCATCCGTGAAAGGGGGCAGCGATGAGGGGGACGAAGCCGCGCACCTCTGCCAGGGGGACGAACCCACGCCTGCGCCGTCCCCTTGAGCCTCACGACCCGCCTGACCGCCAAGGACTCCAGCGTCCGGCCGCACTGCTGGCTCCGCAGCCGCCTCCACCGCATCTGGGGCAGATACCCCCTGCAGGGGCCCCACGGGAGCCACGACACCAGGATGCGCGGCGGCGCCAGTCACACGGAAAATCACCGCCTCCAGGGAGGCCAGCGACGGCCAGAGCAGTAGCATGAACTCCAGGAAGGCGATCATCGGCATGGCCGTCGACACCAGCAGCATGAACTGAACCTCCATCCACGACTCCGCCCCTCGGGGCTGGCGCAGGCGGCGCTGCCGACGCATCCTCGGCTCCAAGCTGCTCCTGCTCGGCGTCGGGGTCGATCGCATCGACCTCAGCCTGCGCCGCACGGCTGCGGGCCCGTGTCTGGTTAGCCGCGGGGCGTGCGCTGAACCAGAAACAGACCTCCGCGCGGCCGTCGGAGAAGCGGTGGCCGCGGTCCACCACGACAGCGTATCCAGCCTGCTCCTCGAGGGCCGACAGGGCGCTGAGAAGAACAGCCCGCGCCGTGGCCGACGTACGCGGCCGCGCTGGGTCGAGGACCACCTTGACCTTACCGCGGCCCTCGATGACGGCGGCTCCGAAAGTGAGGTGCGCGGCGACTCCAGCGACGATCTGATCGCGCAGCCAACGGAGGCCCGCGTGGACCACCATGGCCCGAGGGAAGCGCAAGGGCGCTGAGGAAGTAACGGAACAAGCAAAGGCTCGAGCGAAATGGTTAATAGGAGGAGGAGGAGGAGGAGGAGGAGGAGGAGGAGGAGGAGGAGGAGGAGGAGGAGGAGGAGGAAAAGAGGAGGAGGAGGAGGAGGAGGAGGAGGAGGAGGAGGAGGAGGAGGAGGAGGAGGAGGAGGAGGAGGAGGAGGAGGAGGAGGAGGAGGGGGAGTAGGAGAAGGAGGAGGAGGAGGAGGAGGAGGAGAAGGAGTAGGAGGAGAAGGAGGAGGAGGAGGAGGACGAGAATGAGGAGGAGGAGGAGGAGGAGGAGGAGGAGACTCGCGGCGCCGCAGGCTCGCAACGACGACCACACTCACAGGAAAGTTTGAACAAATCATATCGGCGACAGGGCACCGCGCCGACCTTCGCTGGGCTTATCCTGGGCCCAACATCAGTGTGTTTGCTATCTTGGCGTGGCCACAAAACCTGGGATCCAGGCGTCGCAATTCTTTCTCAAAGGGGGTTTTCGCTGGATTTCGGGCCCTGCAACCCTCACGGATCGACCCGGCCCGAGAAATGCCGCAGAAACATGGGGTCCAGGGATCTTGTCCTGCTATGTCGCGATGTTGCATTTTTTCGCGACGTCGGATCTCGGAGTCAGAGAGCACGCCATCCTGGCTTGGCCAGGCAGGCGCGCACACAGATCCTGGGCCCAAGGAGGGCCTGGCCAGGACCAGGGTGGCCTGGTGCGTGTGTGCATGGTGCCGCCCGAGCACCGTCGACGCGTGGCGGAGGCTCTGCTGCACCTGCAGGTTGTGGACCAGGCCCGACTCGCCGAGGCCCGCCCTGAGGATGGCCTCGCGGCCGCACGCAGGAGCGGCCCCCAAGCAAGACTGGCCTGCGGTGCGCGGCTTGCGGACTGCCGCGTGCGATGCGACAGCGGCGGCCTGCGCACCTGAGCGACGGACAGAAACGGGTCTCGCGCACGATGGCGCAGCGACCTTACGCGGTGGCTTACGCAGCCCGCCAGCTCGGCACGCTACAGAGGAAGCGAAGGGGGCTCACGTGCGACATTCCGCGGGCAGCTTGCGCGCGAGTGCCCGCGCGGTCGACACCGCTTCTCCGTGTCGCTCACCCGGCTTTGGCGCCCCCCGAAGGCCGCGCACTGGAGGCCATTCCGGCAAAGGGCCACTCTTGCGCGCAGCCGGCTCCTCCTCCTCCACCCGAAGGCCGCTGCGAGAGAGGAGGGTGGAAGAGGAGGAGGAGGAGGAGGAGGAGAAGGAGGAGGAGGAGGAGGAGGAGGAGGAGAAGCAGGAGGAGGAGGAGGAGGAGGAGGAGGAGCAGGAGGAGGAGGAGGAGGAGGAGGGAGGAGGAGAAGGACGAGGAGGAGGAAGAGGAGGAGGAGGAGGAGGAGGAGGAGGAACAGGAAGAGGAGGAGGAGGAGGAAGAGGAGGAGGAGGTGGAGGAGAAGGAGGAGGGAGGAGGAGGAGGAGGAGGGAGGACGAGAAGGTCATCACTCGGGTCTCCAGCCCGCGGCCGTTCGGAACGACTCGGGCACGCCTGGGACGCTCTCGGCGCGAGGCGCAGCTGGAGAACATATCGAGACGCGAGAACCTCCAAGAAACGAAGACAATATCAAAACACCTCGCTGTCGTGTCTGTCCGTGGGAGCCTACGTGGCCCCTGGCGCTGTCCGATGTGGGCCAGGCTTGAACCGGATTTTGACCATATTTGGAGCCACATTTGGACCATGTTTGGACCGCCTCCGCCCCTTCACAAGAGAGACGCGAAGAGCGAGGAGGGGAGAAGGAGCAGGAAACGCGAAGAGGAGCAGGAAGAAGGGCCAACTGCGGTCCCAAATCCAATCCGCATGCCAGCAAAGCCGATTTCCCAGAGCCGCGACGTCATGCTTTTTGTTGTTTTTGTTTTTTTGTTTTTGTTCCATGGCGTGGGCCCCGAGCGGTCTGTTCCTTCTCCTCGGGCCCAACTGTTCACCCCGAGTCGCTTTGTTGACGGTCTCGAGGGCCCGTGATGACCCCCCCAGAAGCCGAAAACCACCAACAACACCCCGTCGTGATATTCTCTTCACTCTGGGGGGTCTGGGCTCAATGTCGCCGCCGAAGGCTGCGGAAACCTGGCGGCACCGATGCCGCTCTACTCCCCGGGCCTCTCCCGGGGTGCTCCCTGGCCATCATTCCGAGGCGAATCCAGCGGTGGCAGCAAGGGCCTCCCAGGAGGCCCAAACAGGGGAGGACGGGCGACGGTAGAGCCCAGACCCCCGATGTCATGATTTTTTCATGACGTCGGCCCTCAGAATTTTCGACCTGTTCCCCGGGACCAGTTTTTCATCCTGAGTCGCTTTTTGACGGCCCCAGAGCCTGGGAAGGGCCCCCAGAGGCCGAAAACTGTAACAAAACTCCCTTCGCGATTTCTTCCTGACTCGATGGGGGGGGGGTCTGGGAGGCACGGGTAGATCTCCTCCTCCTCCTCCGGAGGGCTCCCACGGAACAGACGTCGGAGGCCAAGGGGCGGCCCCCGGGCGCGCCGCCGAGCCTTGAAGACGGGCCCCAGGGCCGGCTCGGCGGCCCTGCCGCTGCGCCTCTCGGGGGCGGCCGCGTGGGCGGGGGGCTCCCTGGCAAGCCAGGACGCTGAGGAGGAGGAAGGGGGGTGAGGGGGAGGAGGAGGAGGAGGAGGAGGAGGAGGAGGAGGAGGAGGAGGAGGAGGAGGAGGAGGAGGAGGAGGAGGAGGAGGAGGAGGAGGAGGGGGGGGAGAAGGAGGAGGAGGAGGAGGAGGAGGAGGAGGAGGGCGCTAGCCCGCCCGAGGGAAAGCCGCAGCCCTGGACGGAAGCACCCCTGGGCTCGAAGCAGAAGACCCAAGGTTGGTCGTGTCATCAAAAATCAGGACGGGAGGTTTGTGGCCATTTTCGGCCTCGGGGAGCCCTCGCCGGGCCTCGGGACCGTCAAAGAACGACTCAGGATGAAAAGCCGGTCCCGGGGAAAGGCTCGGGACTTCCAGGAACCCCGTATTGAGCAACATCAGGGCGTCGCATGCCTGGGGAAGGAAGAATGCGAATATAAATAATACTGATGATAAGGATGCTAAGCGTAAGCGTCATACGAGACACAACGATAGCACTACACAGATATGCGTCGGAGCTCCCCGCGTGAGGATGCCAAGGGCCTCGCAGGAATAATGGTGCATTATCGCCT